AACAGTGAATAAGGGTTCCAGTCTCTCCACAACCTCGCCAGCATTTGTTGCTTGCTGTTCTGTTAAATTTTGCTAGTCTTACTGGAGTGAGATTATCTCATAGTTGTCTTGATTTGCATCTCACTCAGGGCTAGGGATTTTGAACATTATGTTTTATAAAATCAGTCACTATTGAACCTTTCCCATCATTGCCCTGTCATTTTGCCTGAATCATTCCCTTTGCTTCCTGCCCTCCCTCCAACCACCAAACTGCAGCTCTGTGATTTCACCCCTATGTATCCTCACCCCTTCGCTGCCCCTCTCTCCCCTTGAGTTCCTGTACATGTTTTATATCACTATTAATCAAATACTTTTATTGCCCTATCTCATCAAAGGCCCATTGCACCTTGTCTATTTTTTTACTCCCCCTGCCCCATTCTTCCAGTAAATATCTGCTGTCCTAGTAGTTTTTTCCCTTACTCCCTCTTCTTCAACTGGTGTGAGGCATCTTCTCTTGTGTCTGTATAGGTAGTTTTCAGTTCCTTTTGTTATATCTTGTATGTGATATTAATGATATTGTTTAATAATTTCTGCACTCTGTCGGGTCACCTTTCTTTGGAGTAGGAACAAATATCGATCTCTTCTAGTCAGTTGGTCAGATGGCTGTGTTCCAGATTTCTTGGCACAACTTAGTGAGCACATCCAGGGCAGCATCTATTTAAATATGTCAATTGGTATGCCATCAATTCCTGGAGCCTTGTTTTTTGCCGTTATTTCAGTGCAGCTTGAACTTTTTCTTTCTTAACCATAGGCTCTTGCTCATACGTTGTTTAATGAAATTCTTCTGTGTCAGCCAATTCTTTCTGCTACAGTGACTCTGTATACTTCTTCCATCCTCTTTTAATGTTTCTTGGATCATTTAGCATTCTGCCCAAAGCATCCTTAAATATTGCCACTTGTGGCTTGAATTTGTTTTTCAATTTCTTCAGCTTAAGAAATGCTGAGCGCGTTCAGTTCTTTTGATTTTCTGACTCGAGCTCTTTGCACATTTCATTATAATGCCTTGTTTTGTCTGCCTTAGCTGCCCCTTGAAATTTTCTGTTCACCTCTTTAATTTCTTCGTTTATCTTTGGCTTCTTGGTGCTCTAATGCAATATTCAGAATCTCATATGACATCTATCTTGGTCTTTTCTTCCTCTTCTGCCTTTGTAATGACCTTTTGCATTCTTCATGAGTGATATTCTTGATATCCTCCCACAGCTCATTTGGTCTTTGCTCATTGGTGTTCAGGACCTCAACCTGTTCCTGAGATGGGTTTGAAACACGTCAGCAGAGAACTGTCAGATATGTGGGCTGGGTTTAGAAGAGGCCGTGGTACTAGGGATATTATACCTAATGTTAGATGGATCTTGGCTGAAAGCAGATAGTACCAAAAGAATGTCTATCTGTGTTTCATTGACTAATGTGCTTCTGTGAAACCTGTACTTGAACTAGGAGGCAGTCATCAGAACAGAGGAAAGAGACACTGCATAGTTCAAAATTGGAAACCGTACCTTTTCAATCTATATGCAGAACAGGTCATCCAGGATGCTTGGCTGTATGAGGAGGAATGTGATATCGCGATTGGAGGAAGATTCATCGCCAGCCTGCATTATGTAGATGACATAACTCTGCTTGCTAAAACTGAAGAGGACCTGAAGTGCTTGCTGCAGAATATCAAGGACTGCTGCCTTCAGTATGGATTGAGGCTTAAAATCAAGAAAACAAAGATTCTCACCACTGGGCCAATTGGCAGCAACATTATGGATTGTGAAGAGATTGAGATTGTTAACAATTTTAGTTTACTTGGTTCCATAGTCAACACTCTTGGTACCGGCAGCCAGGAAATCGAGAGACAAACTGCACTGGGAAAGTCAGTTGTCAGAGACCCCTCCAGTATACTAAAGTGTAACGACATCAGTCTGGAGATTAAGATGTGCTTGATCCAGGCCTTAGCCTTCTCAGTTACTTCCTATGTATCGGAGAGCTGGACAGTAACTAGGGATGATAGAAAGAGAATTGATGCCTTTGAGTTGTGGTGCTGGAGAAGAATGTTGACTATACCATGGACTGCTAGGAGCACAATTAGGTGCATCCTAGGGAGGGTGAGACCAAGCTGCTCCTTGGAGGTAAGGATTTTGAAGCTTCATCTGACATACTTTGGACTGGTCCTTGGAGAGAGACATCATCTTTGGGAGAATGGAGGACAGCACAAGAGAGGAAGACCCTTGAAATTTATTGATTCAATAACTGGGGTTATGGGGATGAGTGTGTCAGAGGCAATAATATTACACAGGGTAGGGTAGAATTTAGGGCTCTTGTACATAGGGTTGCTATGAGTCACAAGCAACTCGATGACACATAACAACAACATGTTTACATCATTCTTCTTAGAGTTGCACCTTTTAAGATTTGCACCAGAATTTACAGTTCATTTTTTTTAGTGAGATATTTTGCCTAAACGTAAGCAATTGTCAAAGGTACCATATTAGTTTCTACTCACTAGGTTCCCTGATCCAATGGCAATCCTCTCAGCTGGTCATCCATAGGCAGCCCAGAGGTGGATTTCCAGAATTCACTCTGTCTCTGTGGCCCAATACTGGCAGGCAGATTCTTTTACATTTTTTATAGTTTTAAAAAAATTTTAACGTTTTGTGAGTTTGTTAAAACATAATCCAAAGTCTCAGCAGCAGCCTTTGTGTTCTGCTCTACTGGTCTGTAGGAGCAGCCTGGTCCAGGAGAGCCTTTTTGAAATGGTGTTGTTTTAACTTCTATTTCACTAATGGTGAGGCTGAACCACTTTGAATACCAATTAGCAACTTAGAGTTTTCTTTTTGTTTCTTCATAATTGAAAAAACAAATTATCTCGTCTAGAATCCAGGTTTATTGTTTCATGTGTTTGACAGTGCTTATGAAGGTAAATTCTTGCAATGGAAGCTATCTCTAACTTAGACTTTCTCTGCCTCCTCAGAATGAGTATACTTCATTTTACTATGCTTCACAAAGAATTGCATATTTGGTTTGATTTTGGTAATTTTTTTTTTACACACTAGAGGTTTGTTTAAACCCTATGTCAAGTAAGTCTGTTGCTCTCATTTCTCTAACAGCATTCACTCTGCACTCACTTTGTCTCTGCATCACATTTGGTAATTAATGTAACATTTAAGACTTTTTTATAATATTGTTCCACACTGAATAGAAAAAAAATCCTGTAAATATAAATTATATGCTCTGGGAAACAAAAAAATTGTGAGACTTAATTTAGTACTTATATGCTTTATTGTATTGCTTTAGAACTGAATTTGCAATGTTTTTATGGTATGCCTGTACTTAGAATTAATTGTACTGTGATTGAAACTGGCCCTATCACAATGAGCTTTATTGTTTTGTTCCTTCAGACATCTGAATCAGCAGAATCAGTAGTTATTGATGAGTAATGTGTTTATTTTAGTTATTGTGAAGGAAGGTGAATGGGAAAAATACAAATATTCATCTTATTGTAAATCTGTGCCTTCTAACTATAGAATTAATGGATTGTAGATTAAAGAAAATGAGACATGTGAGTAATGAAAATGGAGAAGTATGCAGTTTATATTTGAAGAAGTTGCAATTAAAATGTATTTTTTGAGTGAAATAATGAAAAAAAATTTAAATTCTAGATGATTAGTTCAGTTTAGAAGTCAACATTTTATAACATAATTTTAGAAGTCAACATTCTATAAAGCCTGAGGAGGAACATTTTTAATTTCTCTTTGTGATTTTTTAAATTCTGGTTTATTTGTAGAGATACACTTTCTTTTGATTTTATAGTATTTATTTACATAATATATGCTTTGTAAAATAGAAAATTAAGGTTTTAATGAAAAATACTGATTCTTTCTGTACATAGAAAATTGCCTTAGAAACAAAAATCACATTTTCTAAAATCTCTACAAATAATTGTCACTTTATACATGAGCAAACTGATATTCAATACAAATCTATTAATAAGATAATGCATGTCATCAATATAAAAAGTGAGGAAATAAAATAGTATCATTTAGTTTGGAGATAATCTTATTTTTCTTATGGTCTAAGCCCCTTATTTATCATATGGTAACATTTATGAAAAGATAAGTCAGAAAGCTATTTAGATTTAATGTGTAGACCAGAAATAACTCTGTAAAAAAATATTACATTAGTATGAACTCACAGATTGTTAAAGTTTATTTGTGCTGTTAACTTTACCTGAATGAATGTTTCATGTTCTACTTATAAAAATCTGTAAATCTATGCAAGGATACAGTGTACTGTGTTTTCTTGCATCTCCTTGATGTTATTTCTTTATGTTTTTAGGTCAACAGACCCAAAAAGTTTGACTATGATGTTATCGTTACTCAAGTGGCATCAACAGCAGCGGGTGCAGTAGCATTGCAAAATTCAGGTATTAGTTTCCTTTTTATTAGATCTTAATGAGTTTAAATAAACTTATCAAATCTGCTAAAAATTTAGTAGGCATATTCAAATATCAAGATGTGTACTATAAATTTATAAAGTTATGTGGCTTTTTTTCTTTTATTTTTAAACCTTTTCTCTCAAGATATCTTTCTCAGACTTCCCCCAACCCCCAGGAAGATAGAGATAAACACTTTTCTATCTTTTCTCTTTCTTGAAAAAGAGGTACATAAACTGACAAACATTTGATGCTTTTAGGATTTTTTTTTTATATTTTATAAATAAAAACTATGTCTACCCTTCTTGATATATTTTATGGAATTGTCCAATGCTCAGTTATTCAGTATATTATATAATAATAAAAATTATAAAGAGAAAACCTTTTTGTTATCATACGTGCTTATCTTCTCCTTTTTCTCACCTCCTTGAAAGCATCCAACTTAAAGTTTAACTTTTAAAGTTTCTAATTAGTATCACTTGGATTTTCAAGACATTAAACCATTGGAGATTTAATATTTTTTATTTTGGTTTAGTGTTAAGACGTTGCACTGCAGTCCCAAAGCCTTGCCATTTGAATCTACCAGCTGCTTTGTGGCAGGATGCACAGTCCCCTTCCATGCAATTTATTGGCTCTGAAAATCCATTGGCGGGTCAGCTCTAGGTCAGTTTTGACCTAACAGCACACACCAACAATAACAATCAATTTCAAAATTATATAAATCCATAATTGGAGGCAAAGTGTAATGCCTAATATAGATGTTATAGCTACATTTTTCAAGAGTTAGAGTTGATTAATCACATTAATCATCACTATAGGGCCTATTTCCAGGCTGGAAAGATGAGCAGAATGGCCAGATTCTGCAAAGGTGTGTTTTCTGGTTTGGGGTTGAGACTAGCGTGTGGCTTTTGCCCGTAATAGGGTTTGAGCTGATTGGGTTTGGTTTTATATTTAAAAAGGCTTTTGTCCACCAGTCTGGGGCTATTTCGAGGCTGGGAAGAGGAGCAGAATGGCTGGATTCTGCAAAGGTGTGTTTTCTGGTTTGGGGTTGAGACTAGGGTGTGTCTTTTGCTTGCAGTAGGGTGTGGGCTGATTTAGATTTGGCCTTGAATTTAAAAAGGCTCTTGGGTACTTAGGCCTGTGGCCCTCGGGCCTGGTATTTATGGATCTCCTGAATGAAACAGTCTTGAAAGCAGGAGTGGCATCCATTTTCGAAAAATGCTTGCCTCTGGAGACTCTATGAACTTGGAGAAAAGATGAAAGTTTTGTGTTCAAGACTTTCATTCATAAGGTTGCTATGAGTGGTGTACATCTCTATGTCACTTAACAATAACATTTATTCCTTCAGTGAAAATATTTTCTTTTAAATTTGTTTTCCAACTATAGTAATTAAGGCTCTCAGGTGTCTTCAGGTGTCTCACATGTCTACGGTTAAGGCATTTGGCTGCTAACCAAAAGGTCATCGTTGGAATTCACCAGTGGCTCCATAGGAGAAATTCTTGGTGATCTTCTCCCATGAAGATATAGGGCATTATCATGAGTCTGGAATGAAGATTGTAGAGTGGAGTATACTTGGGGTGGGGGTGGGGAGGTGCAGGGGATTGTATACCAGTGAAGAAATTTTTCTTTTACTTTTCAAAGAGTGAACTGGAGGTGGGGTGGGCAGGGAGAAAAGTGCAACAATGAATGAATGGAAATCCAAAATCTCTCTGAATATTCATTGAATCTTTTTTTTTTTAAAAGATTGCCCTGCAGGAACCTTATGGGGAAGTTCTGCTCTCTCCTATAGGGTCGCTATGAGTTGACCCTGACTTATTATACCCAAGAGTAATAGCATAACACATAGAAATGAAGACTAATAATGGTATAATGTCTTAAGTACTATATTGAGAACTTTACATAAATCATTCCATTAGTACTTCACAGAAGTCCTGGAATTTAGCATTGATATTTTCATTTAAAAATGTAGAAACTGAGATTTGCTAAGAACATACATCTCATAAATTCAAAAAGCTCATTGCTTTAATAAGGACCCAGGAATAGATGGTATACCAATTGAAGTATTTCAGATAACAGGTGTTGCCCTGGATGTGCTCACCAAGTTGTGCCAAGAAATCTGGAGAGCAACCACTTGGCCAACTGACTGGAAGAGATCTATATTTGTTCCCATTCCAAAGAAAGGTGACCCAACTGAGTGTGGAAACTACAGAACAGTGTCATTGATTTCACATGCAAGCAAGATTTTGCTGAAGATCGTCCAAAAACGATTAGAACAGCACATCAGCCGAGAACTGCCGGAAGTCCAGGCTGGGTTTAGAAGGGGTCGTGGTACTAGGGATATTGTTGCTGATGTTAGATGGATCTTGGCTGAAAGCAGGGAATACCAGAAGAATGTCTATCTGTGTTTCATTGATTATGCAAAGGCATTTGACTGTGTGGATCATAACAAACTGTGGCTGACTCTGAGAAGAATGGGAATCCCAGAACATTTAATTGTGCTAATACGAAACCTATACTTGGACCAAGAAGCAGTAGTCAGAACAGAGCAGGGTAACACTGCATGGTTCAAAATTGGGAAGGGTGTACGCCAGGGATGCATCCTGTCTCTATACCTTTTCAACATGTATGCAGAGCAGATTATCCGAGAGGCTGGGCTCTATGAGGAGAATTGTGGCATCAGGATTGGTGGAAGGTCTATTAACAATCTGCGTTATGCAGATGACACAACCCTGCTTGCTGAAACTGAGGAGGACCTCATGCACTTACTGCGAAGGGTCAAGGACTGCAGCCTTCAGTCTGGACTGAGGCTCAATGTCAAGAAGACAAAGATTCTCACCACTGGACCAATTGGCAGCGTCAGGATGGATGACGAAGAGATTGAGATTGTTCACAGCTTCAGTTTGCTCGGCTCCACAGTCAACACTCTTGGTACCAGCAGTCAGGAAATCAAAAAGCGTATCGCGATGGGAAAGTCTGCTGTTAGGGACCTCTCAAAGGTACTCAGGAGCAACAGTGTCTCTCTGGAGACTAAGGTGCGCCTGATACAGGCCATGGTATTTGCATTCGCTTGTTATGCATCAGAGAGTTGGACAATGACTAGGGAGGACAGAAGGAGAGTGGATGCTTTTGAGCTGTGGTGCTGGAGAAGGGTACTGAATGTACCCTGGACTGCCAGGAAAACAAACAGATTTATCTTGGAGAGGATTAAACCAAGCTACTCCTTGGAGGCAAGGATTCTGGGGCTTCGTCTGACATACTTTGGACATGTTGCCAGGAGGGACGGGTCCTTGGAGAGGGACATCATGCTTGGGAGGGTTGAGGGACAACGCAGGAGGGGAAGACCCTCTATGAAATGGATTGATACGGTGACTGGGGTAATCGAGATGGGTGTGTCAGAGGTGGTGTGGTTGGCACAGGATAGAGCAGGGTTTAGGGCTGTTGTGCATAGGGTCGCTATGAGTCGGAAACGACTCGACGGCACATGACAACAACAACAACAGCATTGCTTTTGAAGTGGAACCAACTCGTAGCTGCTTAAGAGAAGGCCTGACTTTTCCTGTGGCACCACTAGTGTATTCAGGCCATCAGACGAGTATAACCTTTGTGGTCAGAAGTGTAACTCCCTACAGATTATGCCACCCAACGCCTCTTTCCTTATAAGTAGTAGATTACACAACCCAAATCCACTCTGACACATAAGTTACTGTGGTGTTATCGGCCTATTGTTCAAAATGGCTTTCCTATTCATTAATTTATTTTGCCATATGGATGGGCAGAAATATGCAAATAGTGTTAGCGTATCCACAAGGGGACTGACTAGTCTCACTAATCCCCAAGGTGATTGGCTAGTTTTACCCTTATTTGAGTGAATCCAGCAGTAGAATTGAAAAGTTTCACCAACAGCAAAGGAGTGGCAGCCTCACAGTGAGCATCTTTCAGAACCAGAGATTCCTGCACCAGCTTGACTTAGGGCAGCAGCAGTGGTTGAAACAGGGGACCAGAGACCTGACATGAGACAGAGCTTACCCTGGGATTGCTACTCTTTTTGAAACCAGAGCTAAAAGCCTTTGCCCAGGTTTATTGGAGGGGGTGCAGACCTATAATTTGCAGGACTGAGAGATTTGTCCAGAAACTGTGAGGCTCAAGGCTGCGGTGTCTGCAAGTTCATTTCAGAAGTTGTCCTGGCTCTATTCTGGTACTAACCTGGATTAAAACCTTTTGACTTTCCCAATATGGTTCTGTGTGGTCTGTGAACTATCACATCAGGTTTTGGACCCAGTAAAGCAGTAAGATTGCTGTTGAGATGAATAGAAAGAGGTGTGGGAGAATGGGGACATTTCTGGCCTCATGGGAATTGGTTTGTGTTGTTGATGGAGACAGTTTCCCTTTGAGAAGTTGGAAAATGTCAGATACAGCTTTTCCCACGTGATTCTTATTCTTTTTATAGTTTCCAATGCTATAAATATCTAGAAATTTTTCTCCTAAGATGTGACTGTTGGGTTAGCAATGAGACCTGATATTGACTGTATGTCACCAGGGCTCATTAAACTGTTAGATTATTGCTATTTTTAAGTTCTGTCAAGTAGAGTATGACCCCGTGAACAGGTGACCTGAATCCTGCCCTATCCTGTGCCATCCTCATCATCTCTGACACACATTGCTGAAATTACTGTGTCAGTCCATTTTGTTGGGGATCTTCATGACCCTCACTGACTCTCCACCTTTCCAACATGATAACCCTTTCCAAGGAAAAGATGAAGCTTCATCATCTTTGTCTCCAAGAAGCGCTTGGCACTTTCCCCAAGACTCATCTGCTTGTTCTTTTGACAGTCTATGGGATATTCAGTACTCTTTTCCAGCACCATAACTCAGGGCATCAATTCTTCTTCTGTTATCCTTATTTATTGTCCTGGTGGTTGAGAAGATCATGACCTGAATCAGGTGCGCCTTAGTCTTCAACTGACATCATTGTGTTTCAGCGTTTTGGAGAGGTCCCTGACAGCAGCCCTGCTCAGTGCAGTACATCTCTTGATTTCTTGACTACTGGTCCTAAGGATGTTGATTGTTGATCCAAACAAGATGAAATCACTGACAGCTTCAATCCTTTCTCTAGTACAATGTTGACTATTTATCGTGTGGTGTTTTGTTTTTTTGATGTTGAAATGTAATCCATACCAAAGGCTGTAGTTGTTGATCTTCTCCAGTAAGCATTCATATCCTCTTCACTTTCAGCAAGAAAAGTTGTGTCATCTGCATAATGTACGTTCTTGGTGAGTTTTCCTTCAATCTTGATGCCACATTCTTCTTCACAGAGTTCAGCTTACCGAATTAAGACTTTAGATTAGAAACTTGGATTTTTTTTTTTCGAGCTAACATTTAAAAAGTTATAATGTAAGTACTTTTCTACTCTATTATTACTCTGACCATATAGTTTTATATGTCTTCATTTATAAATGCTATCATTTGTATTATTCCATATGATTTGATTCTTCATAGAGAAATTTAATAGTAACTGACTTTAAAATTAATTTTCATTTAAATGTGTAATATTTGACACACGAGAATTGAGTCTGTATTAATGCAAAAATGCATGAAATAGAAAATTGTCTAATTATGTCTAGTTATTAAGAATGATAACTATATTAAAGGTATAAATATTCACTTTCTAGATGCCAGCCTTGCCTTCGGTCTCTTCCCTTTACCATCCCACATGTGTACACATGTACAGCTTTTTAGACTGTTTTATATTGTATGCTTATTTGCAGAAAAAAATATAACCCTATCATTTTTCAAAAAAACCCAAAACCTGCTCAGTGAAGTTATTGGCAAAAGGACGAAAGATTACATTCATAATTTAGTTGTTCTTCAGGTAAATAGTCTTGTAGGGTTTTGGCATTGTACAATTTTATAATTATATGGTATAATAAAGGTATGTTAATGTTTGTTATTAAGTACCATTTAGTCCAAATCGTCTCACAGTTGTTCTTCAGATTTTCGGAAGCAATAAATTGCACAGGAGGAGATTATCTCTTTCTCTTCTCTAGGGAAGCTGGTAGATTTGAATTTAGCCGTAAGCAATTGTACTGCCAATCCAAAGGTACGTCATTCAGATCTATCAGCTGCTCCACAAGAGAATGATGAATGATGGGCTTTCTCTTTTTGTGCAATTTACTGTCTCTGAAAACCTGTTGAAGGGTCAGCTATGGGTCAGCTCTCACTTGATGGTATACAGCAAACTTTGGGATAGCCGGGTAGTTCCTTACCACTAAGACACCCAAGCTCCCTGTATTATAATGGCAGTTAAAATTTCTGTCAAGAGTTCAAGGATATTTTTTATATGCAAAGCAAAGGTGTGTCCTATAGTAGCATGTCTTGCTAGATGTATAAACATAGCATTAATAATAAAATATTACTTCCTAGGGTTTATTAATGCACTTATAACTGAATTATGGGCCAATCTGGAATGTGGAAGGGACGACGTTAGGGTCACCCATCCTAGATCTACTCCAGTGGATCCTATAGATCGTAGCTGTCAAAAGGTAAGAAGTGATTTGACTGGTCTGATAATGTGTAAACTCTAAGTAAATCTCTTAAAAATTCCTTTACCCAAACTTTATATTCAGTTGCAGTGAGCATGTTTTTGTGTCTCTCTTCTTTCTTTGCGTTAATTTTTTTTCCTTTCAAAATAAGTTTAGTGAGTAATAAGGATGAATACCAGTATTCCTTGGGAATTATGTTTGTCAATGATATTTGTCTTTCATGCTATTTTTATTATATTTTTCACCCTAATGAAGAGTAATAGCATACCAGTCATGTTACCAAACAACCAAATCCCCAACAAAACAATCCTGCAAACAAAAAAAAGGAGTTTTCTCCCCTAGGGATTGAATTTAATAGAGAGTTGTCAGATCATTTGAAAAAGGAACAGGCAAAACAAAGATTATGTCACTTAGAGTAAATGGTAAAAAAGTAGTTTTGAAGTGCTCATACACTAATATTCTTATATGATTTATTGGTTTTAGTATGTTACCTAAATTTTATAAAAATGAGGTGATGGTTTAAAAAATCCTGACAAATCTGTTTTGGAAGACATGCAGCCAGAATACTCCTTAGAAGCAAGGATAGTGAAATTGCTTTTTACATGGCTATGACGTGTTATCAAGAGGGGCCAAGCCATGGAGAAAACGCATTCAATTTGATAAAGTAGATATTCAACTTGAAAGAGTAAGAATCTCAAGATGATTAATTGGTAAAGTGCCTGTAACAGTGGACTCAAGAACAGCAGCGATTGTCCCGATAATAATGGACCAGGCAGGATTTTGTTCTCTTGTACAGATTGAGGTGAGTCACAGTTGACTTGATGACATCTAGCAACACCAACAACTCTATCATTGTTGCAGGCTGCAAAGTTTCCATTCAAAAGGTATCATGGTATCATTCAATTATAAAAAACACTACAGTGCTTTTATTTCCCAATACTTGACTAGCTTCCTCCTGTGGAAAACATTTATAAACTCTTGAGAAAGAATATGCAAATCCTTTCTTTGAAAGCACGGTAATACCACAAAATGTTGCTGTTGTGTACTGTCGAGTTGGAACCGACCCATAGCTGACCCTCTGGTGGGTATTCAGAGGCAGTTAATCTCCTGGGAGATGCTTGCCCACCCTTCTCCCTTGGAGCAGCTGGTGGGTTTGAACCAAGTGCATTTGGGATGGCAGCGCAGCTTCTTACCATTAGGTCACCAGAGCTCTCAACCCAAAATAAGGAGCCCCCAAAATTGCAATCAATTCAGTGGCACTGGTTGAGTTTTTTAATTTAGCCAAATTATGCCCAAGACACGTACCAGTTTTTGTTCTCTATATTTTGTTGTTGATGTTGTTTGCCATCAAGTCAAGCATGACTCAGCGACCCTATGACCTGATGCCTTTCTATAACTGTCATCATTTATCCAAGTTCATAGAGTTTCAAGAGGCATGTTGTTTAGAAAATGGATGCCACTCCTGCTTCCAAACCTGTCTTAAACTGGGAGCTCCACCAAACACTGTCCATCCTGGATAACCATTATGGCATTTGACACCCCAGTGGTAAAATGTTCAGCATCACAGCAATCTCAGGTTACCCCAGTACAGCATATTGAGAGAAGAGTGCTGTACCACCTAGACGAATGTTCCTCCAAAATAACAACCAACTCTAAATACAAAGGCCTTCCCAAGGTCTTTTTGACTCTAAAAAAAAAAAAAGAGGCTTAAATAAACACCAACCAATATAGTATGTTGTTGTTGTGTGCTGTTGAGTTGCCTGCAATGTTTAGCGACCCTCTGTATAGAAGCTCTGAACCCTTCCCTGTCCTGAGCCAGTCTCACTGAGTCCGACTTTGTGGGTTTCCAACACTGTGTGTGAGGAGGCGACCTAACTTAAAACTCAGACACTAAAGCAGGTTTCAGACTCTTCTTTTTGCCAAGATCCAACTGACATTGGCAGTAATCTTCAGCAGGATTTTTTCTGGTGTGTGATGATGTTCTGTACGTAGATACCAGTAATCTAATATCCTTGAAGTTTCATCAGGCAAAGTATAGAGTTATGTATAAATTGAAAAGTAGAGATTCCTGGGAAGAAGAGTACTTCAGAGGAGGCATTTTATACTATATATTCTCTTTCTGGGTTAATATATAGCTAGCCCCGCAACTATGTATGTGAACTTAGAGAAATCAAATACTGATAACTACATGTGAAGATATCGGGCTGGATTTAGAAGAGGTCATGGTACTAGGGATATTATAACTAATGTTAGATGGATCTTGGCAGAAAACAGAATACCAGAAGAATTTCTATCTGTGCTTCATTGACTATGCAAAGGCTTTTGACTGTGTGGATCACAACAAGCTACGGCTGACTCTGAGAAGAATGGGAATCCCAGAACATTTGATTGTGTTAATGCGAAACCTATACTTGGCCCAAGAGGCAGTCGTCAGAACAGAGCAGGGAGATAATGGATGGTTCAAAATCAAGAAGGAGGTCTGTCAGGAATGTATTTTGTTTCCTTACCTTTTCAATCTGTATGCAGAACAGATCATCCGAGACGCTGGACTGTACGAGGAGGAATGTGGCATCAGAATTGGTGGAAGAATCATCAACAACCTGCGTTATGTGGATGACATAACCCTGCTTGCTGAAACTGAGGAGGACCTGAAGCGCTTGCTTTAGAAGGTCAAAGACTGCAGCCTTCAATATGGATTGAAGCTCAACATCAAAAAAACAAAGATTCTCACCACAGGGCCAATTGGCAGCATCAGTATGGATGGTGAAGAGTTTGAGATAGTTAACAGTTTTAGTTTACTTGGTTCCACAGTCAACACTCTTGGTAACAGCATCCTGGAGATCAGGAGACGAACTGCATTGGGAGAGTCAGCTGTGAGGGACCTCTCAAGAGTATTGAAGAGTAATAACGTCAGGCTGGAGACTAAGGTGTGCCTGATCCAGGTTATAGTCTTCGCAGTTACGTGCTATGCATCAGAGAGTTGGACAGTGTATAGGGATGACAGAAGGAGAATTGATGCCTTTGAGATGTGGTGCTAGAGAAGAGTGTTGAATATACCATGGACTGCTAGGAGAACAAACAGGTTTGTCCTGGAGAGGGTGAAGCCAGAGTGCTCCCTGGAGTCAAGGATTCTGAAGCTTCATTTGACATACTTTGGGCATGTTGCAAAGAGGGACTGTCCTTAGAGATGGTCATTATGTTTGGGAGAGTGGAGGGACGGCACAGGAGAGGAAGGCCCTCCATGAGATGTATCGATTCTGTGACTGGAATGGTGGGAATGAGTGTGTTTGAGATGGCAAGATTGGCACAGGATAGAACAGCGTTTAGGGCTCTTGTACATAGGGTTGCTATGAGTCGCAAGCGACTCGATGGCACGTAACAACAACACAGGTGAAGAGAGCTTAGAGTTTCAGTTCAACCAAGCTAATGGCTAAATGAAACAAACTATGACAAGACCAACAACAAAAACAAGAACCAGGTTCTATAATATGTTCTTCACTTTGTATATGATATAACCCAAAATTCTTAAACCTATGAAGTAATGGGGAAGTGAGCCACATGCTTAAGGAAAAGATCAATTTTAGAGGTTGACTAGAAGATAAAATATTGAGATTATTGATTAAGGATTTTAAAGCAACTGTTAGAAGTGAAATGTAATAATAATGTGATTTAATAAATGAACAGATTATAAGTCATAGCAAAGAAAGGAAAACTGTAGAAAAGAACTAAATAGGAATTCTAGACTTGATGGGGAAAAATCCCTATCATCTATAATAAATAATTTTCTAAGTAGCTTTAACACAAAGTTTGAAGAATGTAAGAACTGAAGCTCGATGAATGGAAATTATCCAGTCTAAACAGCAGCCAGGAAATGATAAAAAAGAATTGCATTGAGAAAGTCTTCTGTCAGAGACCTCTCCAAAGTACTGAGAGCAGCGATGTCAGTCTGGAGACTAAGATACTCCTGATCCAGGCCATAGTCTTTATAGTTACTTGCTATGCATCAGAAAGCTGGACAGTGACTAGGATGATAGAAGGAGAATTGATGACTTTGAGCTGTGGTGCTGGAGAAGAGTATTAAATATACCATGACTGCTAGGAGAACAAACAGGTTTGTCCTAGAAAGGATGAGACCAGGCTGCTTCATGGAGGCAAGGATTCTGTAGCTTTGTCTGACATACTTTGGACATGTTGCAACAAGGGACAAGTTCTTGGAGAGAGATGTTATGCTTGGGAGGGTGGAGGGACAGCACAAGAGAGGAAGACCTTTGATGAGATGGATCGATTCAGTGACTGGGGTAAGAGGGATGAATATTCAGAGACATTAAGATTGGCACGGGATAGAGCAGAGTTTATGGCTGTTGTATATAGGGTCACTATGAATCGCAGGTGACTAATAGCACATGACAATAAACAACAAAGAACAAGAGAATAAAAAAGACAAAAAAAGGAAAAACTTGAGTGATTGGGGAAATATATTAAAAGTATTTGGAAGCAGGAGTAGCATCCACTTCCTAAACAGCATGCCTCCGGAAACTGTGAACTTTGATAAATGTTTTTTAATAGGGTTGCTTATATATGTAGTATAGTATCAGAAAGAAAGAATGCGACATATAAATATTTGATTAATTAATAAATTAATAATGACAATGGTAGGAACCGATTAGTTCTGAACAAAATATCAAATTACACCAACTCTAAAACCAAAAACAGTTGCCATCTAGTTAGGTCTGACCCATAACATGTCTCTGTATGCTAGACTAGAACCATGTCTGACTAAAACTACACTTTCATGGCTTTCTTTTTGCAGTTAGATTATCAGACCTTTCTTACGAGGTATCTCTGGATGACTTGAGCCCCCAACGTTTTGGTTAAGAGTCAGGTTTGTTAACCATTTATAGAATACATGGTAAAATTACCATTTATCATAATTAAATGAGCTTAACATGTTTTAATTGAATAATACTATTCAAAACTCATTTCTAAGAAATGTTCTTAAC